AATTTCATTTGTGCTGTATGTCGTCCATGTATAGCACATCTGACAATAAAGCTGACTTGACTTGACAAATATATACAAACAAATAGTTCCACTATCATTGTGCTACATGAACATTTCTGTTCAAAAATTCTTTAAAATGATGTTCATGAAACCCCCATAAAATCCTGTGTCCAAATTTAGTGTATTTTCTAGCTACATCTGGCACCATCTTCCCTTTAATGCTATAAATATGTTAAATCATCAAGATTTCAGTGTCGTTTCCTTGGTTTCCTTCTCTCACTTCTTATTTTCTTCCTCCCCTCATTCTTCTTTTGTCTCTGCTCCTCTTTTCATGTCTGGGATTTTTTTTTCTTTTTACTCCTTTTTAATTCCCTTTTTGTTTCTCTCTCTCAGACTCGGAGTTGAACCACAGAGAATTTCAGAGGGAAGTTCAGATCCTGAAGAGTCTCCGCCATCGTCACCTTATCGCTCTGTTCGCCATCTGCACGGCCTCGACTCCTTACTACATCATCACCGAGCTGATGGAGAAGGGCAGCCTGCTCAGCTTCCTCAGAGGTAAGGCTCAGTGTACCTCTGTGTTTTGTGAGGACCAAGAGCTTTGTGCGCTAGGGTTAGGTCAAGATTAGAGGGATGGAGCTTTGGTTTGTGGTTGGGGAGTTTCAGGGTCAGGGTGTTTCTTCAATTCAGCAGCCTGGCCTTTGAAATTTGCACTGTTTATAAAGGTACATCTTGCTCAAAACATTTGGAACTGCAATAAATCTGATCTTCATGAAGGTTTTAATGTTCTGTTTTTGTAGAAACTGTATCAGAGAAACATTGTTTTAACTTTATAGTTATTTTGGAGGCTGTAGTTGGAGAGCTTTCTTTATTAATTGCTGGGGTCTGATTCTCTGTGTTGATTGTTTCTCCCTTTCAGGTCCAGAGGGGCAGAATCAGGACATAGCAGTGCTCGTTGACATGGGAGCCCAGGTGGCTGATGGGATGTCATACCTGGAGGAGAAGAACAGCATCCACAGAGACCTGGCAGCTCGAAATGTCCTGGTGGGAGAGGACTACATCTGTAAGGTGGCCGACTTCGGACTGGCCAGAGTGATCAAGGTAGGGAGGGAGGAAAGGTTTGGGTCTTTAAAGTCAGACCAAGGCTGCAGTTTTTAATACAAATATTCCTCATCCAGGAGCCGTTCTACATCACAGAAGATAAAAAGATTCCCTACAAGTGGAGCGCTCCTGAGGCCATCAGCCATGGGATGTTCTCCAACAAGTCAGACGTCTGGTCTTTTGGTATCTTGCTCTATGAGATTACCACTCACGGAGGCGTTCCTTACCCAGGTTGGTGGAAAGACATGTCTTTTTTTTGCATTAAATGTTTTAGAAATAGAGTTTACAGCACTTTCAATCAATAATAAATGGTGAAATGAAATATGAAGTTGAGCTGCTTGAGGAAAAAGTGATTCCAATGGGGGACAAAATCCTGCTGAAATACCTGCTCGATTTGAATGATTCAGACTCTTTGTCATTAAATTGGCTCATTGTAAGATAACGAACAAAACAATTCTTATTTTTAGTTGATTATAGACAAATTAAAACATACCTATGAATATTATGATCCATTTATGCCAATAAAGAAACAGTTTTCTATAAAGTTGCACCAGAGGTGGAGGTCAGGGTATGATAAACGACAGACTCTAACGTGAGTTTAGTTTGTTTTAGATCATTTTCCAAACTCACCACCATCAAAACTACAGCTTAACTACAGAATATATAGAGAGAGCCCCCCAAATGTTTAACCTCTTATTTTTCCTCTCTCTCTACCCGCTCTCTCTCTCTTGCTCTCCACAGCCCTTAGCAACCAGGAAGTGTACCAGCAGGTTAGCAGCGGGTACAGGATGCCAGCTCCGGCTAAATGTCCCGACTTTCTCTACAAAATCATGCTGAAATGTTGGAGCGCCAAGCCAGGAGACAGGCCGGATTTCAAGTCCCTCAAGATCCAGCTTGACAGCAGCTCCTACGAATTGGACTAACCGCCCCCCAACTTCCTGCAGGAACATACTCACTGCTGCCCCACAGAGGGGCAGCAGAAAGTCTGACACAGAGCAGGGATTGTGATCTCTGAGGTGTCTCTAACAGAAACAAACTGATTTTAGAGAAAGACTTGTCTTTGCAGTGTGCAAACCTGCAAAGCTTTATGTCGTTTATTCAGTACACTTGGGTTCGAACTATTGATCATATACATTATCATGTTTTTTAGTGCTGAAACCATTCACAAATGGAATTGGCAACAATTTTTATAATCGATTAACCATTTCAGTAATTTATTTAAGCAAAAGTGTCATTAATTCTCTTGCTCCAGCTTGTCCAGTGTAAGAACTTATAGTTTCATTTAGTCTTCTGTGAGAGTGAACTGAAATAGATGTGGATGTTATCGACCAAACAATTAATTAGTCCAGCATATGCATTGCATAAATGCATCTCTAATTTTCTTTTGTCCGACCAAAATCCAAAGATATTGAGCCTGAAAAGCAGCAAATCCTCACATTTGGGAGGCTGGAGCCAGAGATTGTTTGAACATTTTTCTGGGGAAAAAAAATACTTGAATGAGTAATCTATTATTAAAATAGCTGCTAATTAATTTTCTGTCGATCCAATAGTCAATTAATTGACAAATTGTTTCAGTTCTACAGTCCATACTGCAAAAAGGTGGGAAGCCACTGACAACACAAAACAGCCAATATGTTTGTTAGAATTTCCTACAAAAATCATATTCTGAGTCTCTTTGTTCAGCTTCTTTAATTTCTTCTCTTCAGCTTTTTTTGTCTTGAGACAGCATTTTTAGCATTTACATGGATCATTGGCAAAGACAGGTCTGATGGTTTACAGCCAAAAAAGAGAGTGGATGTGAGAATTTGCATCATCACAAAGTCTGAGGTGTGTCTTTGAATGGACACCTTATCTCACCTTCTGTCAACGTCTACTGAGTGCCAAAGTTTTTTCTTGATCTGAAAGTCATGACAACCTTAAAAAAAAATCAAAGAGAAATACAGAAGCTGCAAACTACTGCGTTGTAAAAAACAGTCTCAAACTTAAGTTAGCTTGGGGCCACTGCCACTTTAATGTTTTAGTACGATAAGAAATCACAATGTCCTGAAATTACTTCCATTACTAACATCATATTTAACAAAAAATGCAATCAGCAGTTTCTAGACATTTTTATATAATCATTTTATATCTTCTTTGCTGTTTGCAGCCCCTCCCTTCATTCAACAAACTCACTACCTGTCAGCTCTGCAATATTAACCGTTGGCCTGCAAGGGGCAGCACAGTCCCATTATCTGAGTTATCTAGTTATCTAGTTCCTGTCTCGTCTAACTAGTGAATGAAGAGTGAAGTTTTTAATTGCACAAATTAGCCACAATTCACTTCACAAACTCTTCCAGTATTTAAACAGTTTCTCTGAAATCTAATCCAGTCCTTCCTAAGCTGCAGTCAACTTTAAATGCTCCATTAATCGGCAGAACCGATGAGTAATCACATGGAAACATATGGAAACCTCCTTCCTCCAGCTGTCACTCAGTTACTTTTTGCATCAGTGCCATAGATCAGCGTTTAAGCCCTTGAAAATTTGTGATCATCGTCACTCAACCAAAGATGTGACTTTGGCTGCAATCCTCATTTTGCAAACCCTCAAATTCATCTTACATCACAGCTGGTTAAGACTATAAGAAACGCCCCAACAATGTTTGAAAAGATGCAAAATGCACAACAACAGTTAAAGCGAGGAATCAAAAGCAACACAGTTGGTCCCCTCAACCAGTTTCAGGGTTACAAGATATTTTCTTGGTTACTAAAGCTTAAAAAAAACTGAATCAAAGCAATAAAACGTTCCTATAGATACTTCTAAACAATTTGTATTCGTTATGTTTCTACAGTTTTGATCCAAGGCCACATTTTGTGTCCAGTTCTTTTAGATTTTGCACATCTATATTGCTGATGAAATCACTGGTAAGACCGTGTTTTTCGTGTCAGATTTGTAAATTAATGAACACTTGTGGAACAGCATGTACTGTCCCATTTAAACATCAGATGGCTTATCAAAGCAACTGCATCATCCAAAAAGATATGGTGAAAGTGTCAAATGTAAACCACATATCACTTTCAACCTGGTGCAAACACAATGTGAGTTTCTGCATATATGTAGAGATGATGTTATATGTCTATAAATATTGTAATAATGATGGATACGTTTGTTTCTAATTGCTTTTAAGGACACTTTCAGTGTGCTTGTGTGTGCATGTGTGTGTCTCTCTATTCCCTCCTGTCTGCTACTGGAGTTAACTGGGTCAGTAAAATTTGACCCCTACGTTCTCTATCTCTGTCTGCAAGTTCAAGTTTAATAATCAAACAGCTTTATTTGTACAGACAAACACTTTATAAATACAATGAAAACATTAAAAGAATGATAAAATCCCACACATACTGTTCAACGTTTTGGTCCCAAGATCTAAGACTCATATTCAGTTTCAGTGGACGTGAGTAAGGTGCTGCTGTTCACCTGATGAAGGTCATAAATCAAGTACAAGTGATCAACAGTGTGCAGAAGAACAGTTTCCTATCCAACACACCTGTCTATAAAGAACTTTATAGTAATTGTTTCTTACTATAATCGAGGAATAAAAGGAAATTTTATAATTTGACATTCCTCTACAGATACAAAAAGTGAAAAATTAGTTTTGTGTTGTCTGATCGATTATGTTTTTTGGTGGGCGGCTACTAAAATCCTTAGTTCCCAGAACCCAGAATAGAAAAAAACACTGGCTTTAGGTGATTATACACTAACGAAAAAAACATACCTATGAATATTATATTCCATTTCTGCCAACAGAGCCTCCTAAATGTAACACACTGGACCTTTAAGTAAGGATACAATTTGGAAAAGCTGTTCCCAGACAGTTTTAAATAAATGGTTTTGTTTCCACAATAGTTCATGCACACTGCACAACGTCCTCCCTTTCACTAAATCTTCCCCTTCTTTCTTTTCCCTCGCTGTCTCTGTCTTTAGTGGTATTATTTCTGTCAATGTGGACCACACACACACACACACACACACACACACACACACTCTATCAGCTCTCTTTATCATTCCAGTGTTGATGCAGCATTTTCAGAAAGTGTCCACATACACAAAACAACCCACATACACGTAGACCTGAAACCAAATGTGGGCTAGTACTTGAGAAGTGTCATACAGTGACAGGTGTCTTGGGCCAGTGCACGGACAGACTGGTGCATGAAACTGTGTGTGTGTGTCTCCCTATCATCCTGGCCTGCAGAGTCACGTTTCCCAGTTTAGTTATATGAATGGAAGGAGGTCAGAAATGGAGTCAGACCCTCAGATTACTCAGTGGACTTTGTGAACTCAACAGGAACCCCTCATCGGATCTCCTAAACTATGACTCTGAACCAGAAACAGGTCAGGAGCCTTTGGAGTGACAGTGATACTCCTCCCACTTATCCTCCTCTCCCACACTATTAGCTCTAACGTTCTCATAGCCCATCTCCAGAGATGTCATATCCTTTCTCCTTCATACCCTCACCCACGTACCAGTGAACAAATGACAACAGAAACGTCCAGTGGATACTGAAATGAAACACCTACTCATTGCCATAATTCATTTTAAAATAAAATATTATAAACATGACAGATAACTGAAGCAGTGCATCAATGGAATCCATTACATTTCCAACAGAAAGTGATTAATATGGCGCTCTCGTAAAAACTGTAATTACTTACAGGACCTACTCCTCTCCATCATCCTTAGCTCAGTCAACCCAAAAACAGACCGGGGTTAGGCCTCAGTTCTTCTCAGGCAGTTCTCATATAAAGCAAAAAATCATGCCTGGAAATCTGCCTTGAGATCTGTAAAAGCTATACTGATAAAAACCTGATGCTGTAAAAGTGATTTAGCAGTTGAACTCCAGGCGACCTGCAAGAGTTTGAACTGGTGTACAGATTTTGAGGTTTGGACACAGTTAGGCTCTGTACAATACACTGCAATACAATAACCCCCACTGAGCATTTTCTTTCTTTTCTTTCTGAAAACATCCAATTAAATAAGTGAATGTCTTTATGTACAACGAACAGTGCAAGTCACTTCTTAATATACAATTACCCTCTCAGTTTCTCTTGTTCCTTTTTTAAACTGATGTTCTCTGATTACAGGAAAGTAGGCAAGAACATTTCACACAAAGTCTGTCCCAGTACAGTTTCATGCACCAGTCTGTCAGCTCATTGCATTGGGAGTGTCTGTCCTCCGAACTGGGAAACCAGCCAAAACTGTGTCTTTATAACATCCAGTAGATCCGGGTTCAAGGATTGAACTTGGTCACCCTGAGACAGCAGGCTGGCACCACACACACACACACACACACACACACTAATAGATATACATAGATATACATAGATATACATAGATATACATTAGCATGTCTGTAGAAGACGACCAGCTGCCTATGTAGATTAAAACCACTCATTCTAAAAGGTTAAAAACTGTTTTTTTTAAGGTGCTTATAAAAAACATAATTGAAAAAAAATTCTATGATTTTATTATTACATTTCTTTGCCCAAATAAAATCCCCTAAATGTACAACCAAAAAAACTAGGACCTTTAAAAGTAATACGTAAAAAGGTAAATACTATAACATACTAGTATGCAACATAGCATTGACATAGCACTGGATATTGTCATGTGTCATGCAGACATTAACTAACCGGATCAACAACAAAATGTGCTGAACAATAGCTCGTTTGTCTCCTCGGATCAGATTTATCTTTCTGAAGCTTCACACTGATTTTATGTCATCGAACAAAGTGCTGAAATGGGATGATTCTGCAAAATCCTGCATTACGTTCGATCAACATTCAGTAGATTGTACCACCACTATACTACCTACACAAATAATATAAGAAATTATCTGTACAGAGTATGTTAATAACACACACACACCACAATACATAGCTAATAGCTAGCTTGTCTTGTGTTAAACACACGGTCACATTATATTTCCTGTTTGTCGACCGTACGCAGTGTTATTGGACTTTGAATCTCGCTTATTATAACTTTAGCTATCTGTCTCGTAGCTGAGCTGAAGGCGCTTGTTGTCAAGACATATACTATGGTTCGTCCATATTTACTGCGAGTAGTGGAACAATGGTTCCATTGATTGCATTAGAACCTTATGGGATGCCACTGATTTTCCAGGCATTAGGAAGGACCTCGGGTGTTACCAGGGTATCTTGTTTGATTGGAAAATGCTTGAAAATATAAAATAATTAGCTTTTTTTTTCATTGGCAAGTGACCGTGGTATAAGCAGGTTAAGGCTCTTGGAGATGTCCATAATCAGGAATGAATGGACTTTGTGTGGTCAACGGTCCGACACGCTCTGGCCTCCATATCGTCCATTAATTCCTGAAAATGGACACTGTATCGGGCATTATCCCTTACTTATCCAACAAAACCATGATCAAAACTTTAAAGTCAAAACTTAAAAAAACTTTGATTTTGTTCCAATTTATTTTCATTCATTCCCATCAATTCAAAATGTCACTTTTCTTATTTTGATATGTAAAGTCCAGTAGAACATGTTGCAGGTTCTGTGTTTATTCTGTGTTTACGTCTCAGACTGAGGTGATTTAAGAAGGAATTTCTTTCCAGACCATCTCCTCCTCTTTTTTTCTGCTGCTCCAGATTCCCATCACCTTTGTACAGAGTGACCTTTACACAGACTAAACTTCATACCAGAGAGCAAAAATACAATGACACAACACATTGGACTATGTGTTGGGTATATGTTTACTACGAACAAACTGTAACTGTACAGGAACCATACTTTTTGGTTTAAGTATTTGTATCACGATTTAACGGTCTCGCGATATATCTTTACATTCCTTGAGGCAAGCGTATAAATTAAAATAAGTGACGTAACATCTGATGTTAATAACTGGTTAAATTCTCAATAACATAATAATATCTCACTGTGCACAGTTTTCTGTTATAGTTCTTTCTGTGGTTGTCTGGTCAATCTTCACACTAAAAATAACACTGGAAACTGACCCAGTGTGTTGTCAATATATCACAGACACAACACATGGTTAACTTGACCCAGGACCAGTGGGTTGTTTTGGTGTTATTTTTATATTACTGTTGGAACAAAACAACCTACATGTTGGGTGGTTCTACCCACTGGTACTGGGTTCACCCTGTACTGAATCAGTGCTATATTGACTCTAAACTAGGTACATTTTAACGAAACATTTTTAGTGTGAAGCAACTCTGCATCCAACCTCTGTGTTGATAATATTCTATTCTAAACCGCGTCGGAAGCCCCTTAATAAATGTTAAATGTAGGTTGGCGAGCTGAAAATAACTCTACATTAAAAGACCCCTTTTGTGAAGTTACTGCACACTTCAACACATATTTTTGTAAACACTGTCCAGATTACTGTTGATAATCCACCGACCTTGCTGTCAACAGTTGCCATTGGAACTCTACCCAAAACCCCCTCCAAAAAACCCAAAACAGTTCCTATGAAAACTATTGACAGCAAGGTCTATAAATAATCAATTAACAGTGTTTCTGGAAGATGTTTTTATTTATGTCAATGCCAGGAGAACCACAAATAAAAAACTTGGGTAGAGGCAACAATCTGATAGACTCACAACCAAAACTATATCATGAATATGTAACACTGGTTGGAAGTGAGAAAATATATTCTTCTGTAATGTGGATAAACCTACTCTTAAAAAGGGTCGAAGACAAAAACAAGTGACAGGAAAAGACACAGACCGTCTCTCCCCGAAGGTAAAAAATAGACGACACATTACTGGAAACAAACACCCTCACGGAAACCTGCTCTTCTGGTCGTCTGGCTAGTCACGTTTATTCAACTGTTTACTGAACATGTAACCAAAGCTGCGTCAAAACATACCAAGAAAAAGAACATTAACAAATATCACACAGAAAAATTACCACAACATGTTTCAACATAAAGATATTAAATACAAATGCAACAAATCTACATACTCAATAACCTCCATTGAGCTGAGTCAAGACCTGGCTGAAACATCCCCCCCCCCACAGTTTGTTGTTGAGCAGTCTGAAGTATTTACAGTAAATGTTAGTGTGTTGTCAAGACAATCAAAGAGCGAGGGTTTCATTTTAGAGCCAAAAAAAGTCATACGAGACAAACACTCAGAGGGATAAGACTGCGTATCCAGTGAGTTTACTGTTCGTCATTAATGGTGTGTTCCTGCAAAGTGCTCCTTCAGCATAGTGTCTGAGGTATGTGGGTTATTGTGTTTTTTTGAGTCAGGAATCCAGTTGTTGCATTGTTCTCTTATAATACGCCACAAGATCTCACTCGCTCCATATTTTGTATGGGAAATTTGGAAAAAATGGTAAATGAATCGTTTTGGAGTCATTATTTAAGAACAAAAGTCCAAACTCTCAGATTTCAGCTCCTCAAATGTGAATATTTCCTGGTTTCTTTTGTCCTCTATGACTGTAAACTGAATATCTTTGGACAAAACAGACATTTGAGGACGTCACCTTGGGCTTTGGGAAACAGTGAACGTCATTTTTTTACCATTTTCTGACATTTTATGAACCAGACAACTAATTGATTAAAAAAAAACGATTGACAGATTAAATCGATAATGAAAATAATCGTTAGTTTCAGCCCTATTAAAAACAATACATAAATAAATTTGTATCTCTGGCTGTCGGTTCTATCGGTTGCAACCAACTGAATACTGCTCACCTTTCAAGCGTGTGGGAGAAACTACGGTGGCCACAAAACTTTCAAAGAAACGACGAAGACTAGATAGCAGAAAGATCACTATACTACTATCATATCTACATCTTTGCTCTTCCTTCAGAAGGCCCAGGTTTGCCTTTACCTGTAAACCCAGGATCTAAGACGGAG